AAAACCTGTTCTTGTATAGCTATGCTGACAGAGAGAGAGGGTTTGATAATTCCCTAATTCTGTGATGGCAGTTTTTCAAGGTAATTGATAATGACTTCTGATTGTGATTTGGGAGAAAACTGCTGACCAGGGCCATGAAAGTATTTATTAGCTATATAACAGCAATATTTTCATTGTAAGCTGGTATGTTGGCATTCTGATCTCTACCTAGTTTTATACACATTTTCTTTAGTCTGTGAAGCCTTTCCAGGGCTTGTTCCTTACCTTAGAGTAGAGAAAAGAAAAAAATCACTGGGTCTTTAAGGTGTGGAATCAGATTCCATTATTTTTCTTGCTGTTTCTTTTATCATTTCTAGATTCTCTTTTTATTCTTTTTTTTTTTTTTTTTTTTTTTTTTGAGACAGAGTCTCGCTCTGTTGCCCAAACTAGAGTGCAGTGATGTGATCTCGGCTCACTACAAGCTCCGCCTCCCAGGTTCACCCCATTCTCCTGCCTCAGCCTCCCAAGTAGCTGAGACTACAGGCGCCCGCTACCACGCCTGGCTAACTTTTTGTATTTTTAGTAGAGACGGGGTTTCACCGTGTTAGCCAGGATGGTCTCCATCTCCTACCCTCGTGATCCGCCCGCCTCGGCCTCCCAAAGTGCTGAGATTACAGGAGTGAAACACCATGCCCAGCCCCTTCTCTTTTTTCTTAATTTACATGCATTCTATATCCATTAGGGTAATGGATCCTGTCGTTCTTGTGTTTTTGTTTGCTGTGGATATTTTTCCATTTAATGTTTAGGTTTTTATACACAGAAACTTTATTCTTTTGTTCTTTTCTTCTATTTTTAGTTGACACATAATAATTGTACATATTTATGGAATACATAGTAATATTTCAATGCATGTATACATTGTGTAATGATAAAATCGGTAATTCGCATAATATTGAAGATATCTTTTTTGAGTGTTAGGAGCATTAATATTCTCTTTTAGCTTTTAAAAAAATTGTATCAAATTAAGGGTTACAAGTGCAATTTTGTTATATGACTATATGGTATAGTGATGAAATCTGGGATTTTAGTATATCCATCACTCCAATAACAGACATTGTACCCGTAAGTAATTTCTCATTATCCACCCCCGCTTGTCCTCCCCCACCCTTTTAAGTCTCCAGTTTTTATTTTTCTACACTCTATGTCCATATGTACACATTATTTAGCTCCCACTTGTAACTGAGAACATGTGGGTATTTGTCTTTCTGTGCCTGGGTTGTTTCACACTGGAAAATGACCTCCAGTTCCATCCCCATTGCTGGAAAACACCTGACTTAATTCTTTTTATGGCTAAATAGTATTCCATTGTGTATATATACTACAATTTTCTTGATCCAGTCTTCACTGACAGGGTGATTCCACATCTTTGCTATTGTGAATGGTGCTGTGATAAACATATTAATATATGTATCTTTTTTTCTATGATGATTTATTTTTCTTTACATATATACCCAGTAGTGGGACTGCTGCATTGAATGGTAGTTCTATTTTTTAGTTCTTTGAGAAATCTCCATACTGTTTTCCACAGAGGTTGTCCTAGTTTACATTGCTACCAAAAACATATAAGGATTCCCTTTTCTCTACATCCTTGCCAATATCTGTTATTTTTTGTCTTTTTAATGATAGCCATTCTAACTTATGTATGATGATATCTCATTGTGGTTTTAATTGGCTTTTCTCTGATGATTAGTGACATTGAGCAGCTTTTCATATGTTTATTGGCCATTTGTATGTCTTCTTTTGAAAAAAAAAATGCCTATTCATGCCCTTTGTCCACTTTTTTTTGATAGGGTTGTATTTTTTATTGTTTTTGAGTTGTTTGAGTTCCTTGTAAAATTATAAATATTAGTTCCTTGTTGAATGCATTGTGTGAAAACATTTTCTTTCATTCTGCAGGTTATCTGTTGACTCTGTCAATTGTTTCTTTTTCTATGCAGAAGATCCTTAGTTTAACTCAATTCCATTTGTCTATTTTTGTTTTTGTTGCTTGTGCTTTTGAGATCATACTGATACAAATCTTTGCCTATACCAATGTCCTGAGGTATTTACCCTATGTTTTCTTCTAGTAGTTTTATAGCTTGGGGTCTCATGCTTAAGTCTTTAATCAATTTTGAGTTGATTTTTCTTTATGGTGAGAGATAGGAGTCTAGTTTTATTCTTCTTCATATGAATATCCAGTTTTCCCTGTGCTATTTATTGAAGAGAGCATTCTTTCTCTAACGTTTGGTATCTCTGTCAAAAATCAGCTAGCTGTAAATATATGGATATGTCTCTTTCTTCTCTATTCTGTTTCATTGGTCTATGTGTCTGTTTTTATAGCAATACCATGATGTTTTAAGTTACTATAGCTTCACAGTATAATTTCAAGACAGAGAGTGTGATGCTTTCAGCTTTGTCCTTTTTGCTTAGGATTGCTTTGGCTATTTAGAATCTTTTGTGATTCCATATAAACTTAGAATTGTTTTTCCTATCTCTCTGAAAAATATCATTGGTATTTTGATAGAGATTTCTTTGAATCTGTAGTTTGCTTTGAGTGGCATGGTCATTCATATAGTTTGAATATTTGACCTCGCCCAAGTCCCATGTTAAATTGCAATCCCAGTGCTGGAGGTATGGCCTGAGGGGAGGAGTTTGGGTCATGGGGGCGGATCCCTCATCAGTTTCTGCTGTTGTCACAATAGTTGGTGAGTTCCTGTAAGATCTGGTTATTTTAAAGTGTGTCTCCTACCAGTCCCCTCCCTGGCTCTCTATCTCTCTCTTCCTCTCTCTCTTTGTTGCTCCTGCTTTTGTCATGTGATGTGCCTACTCCCTCTTCATCTTCTGTTATGACTGTAAACTTTCTGTGGCTTCCTTAGAAGCTAAGCAGATGCCAGCGCCATGCTTCTTCTAAAGCCTGCAGAACTGAAAGCCAATTAAACCTCTTTTATTTATGAATTACCCAGTCTCAAGTATTTCTTTATAACAATGCAGAATGGTTTAATACAGTCATTTAAACAGTATTAATTCTTCTGCTCCATGAGCACGGGATGTCTTTCCCTTCATTTGTGTCCTCCTCAATGTCTTTCATCAGTGTTTTGTAGTTTTCCTTGAAGAGATTTTTCACCTCTTTGGTTAAATTTATTCCTATGTATTTCTTTTGTGTGGCTATTGTGACTGGGATTGCATTTTTAATTTCTTTTTCAGATAGTTCATTATTGGTGTATGGAAACAATGCTAAATTTTGTATGTTGATTTTTTTATTCTACAATTTCACTGAATTTGTTCATCAGCTCTAAGAGATTTTGTGGTAGAGTCTTTAGGTTTTTCTATATATAAAATTATGTCTTCGGCAAAGAGGGTCAATTTGATTTCCTCTTTTCTAATTTGAATGCCCTTTATTTCTCTCTCATTCCTAATTGCTCTTGTTGGCACTTCCAGGACAATGGTGAATAACAATATTGAAAGTGGGCATCCTGTCTTTTTACAGTTCTTGGAGGAAAGGGTTTCAGCTTTTGCCCATTAGGTATGATTTCAGGTGTAGGTTTGTCATTCGTGGCCTTCATTATGTTAAGGTATTTTTTATGACAAATTTGTTGAGGGTTTTTATGATGAAGTGATGTTCAATTTTATCAAATTAGTTTCTGCATCTATTGAGATATTTATATAGATTTTGTCCTTGATATTATTGGTTGATATATCACATTTAATGATTTACATATGTTGAAACATCCTTGCATACCTGGGATAAATCCCACTTGATCATAGTGTATTATCTTCTTGATGTGTTGTGTTCAGTTTGCTAGTGTTTTGGGGAGAACTTTTGCATCTAGGGTCGTCGATAATAGTTGCCTGTGGATTTTTTTTTTTTATGTTCTTATCTAGTTTTGGTGTCAGGGTAATGCTGGTCTCATAGAATGAGTAAGGAAGAATTTCCTTCTCTTCAGTGTTTTGTAATAGCTTGAGAAGAGTTGGTGTTAGTTCTTTTCTAAAAGTATGATCAATGTCAGCAGTAAAGCCATCTGGTCCTGGGCTTTTCTTTGTTGAGAGAAGCAGTTATCTAACATCAGGAATCATCTGACATTTATTTATACAAACTTCTTGGTGTGAGTTCAAAGTGACTACAGAATATGGAACTGTGAAACAACCACCACCTACATCTGAAACAAGAATTAAGTGTTCTGAAAAATGAAATGTAATCTTTAACAAATATTAGAACACTAAAGCAGGGATGCCTATTACGTATGTCTTTAGTGTTAGGAAATAGACATGTATTAGTATTTTAAAATCATTTTGAAATATTATTTTCTTACAAATAAAAATGATTCATATAGTATAACTAGTTTTTAACTCTACATTTATAAAAGTATCTCTCTGGTCCATTTGTACTTATTTATACAGCATCACAATTTTCATTCACAGTTTCTTCATGTGAAAGCTATTTTATAGGATATGGTAGAAACAGCCTTTTCATGTCAAACTAAAACATATAAAGATCATTCCTAATGCAAGCCAATACAAACTAAAATAATTTGCAAATTACAAGAATATATTTTCAAATTTTCTGTTGCAGATACTACATTTTGCATTAGTTTCCAACTAAATTTTACTTTTAGAGCAGAAAAGTTTTATAATTTGTAATGTGACTTTTTTTATATATCCACATTAATTACCATAGAGTACAAATTCCTCATTGAAAAACTATATTCTCAAAACAAATGTAAAAGTAGTATTTTGACTTTAAATTAAAGGAATTAAGAATAAATTTGGGCATTCAACTGTGCATATCTCTAATTGAAAGGATTGAGTCCATTTTGAAATATGGGTAAAATTTACTATAGAGATTTAATTTTCAAGTAAAATATTTTATTTGAGCTATCCAATGTGTCTATGAAAATGCAAATGGATTCCAAAACAAACTTTAAAATTTCTCTCAGGAACAAAGAAATTGAACTTAATTTAATTACTGTAATTGTCATTTTCAGACCTGCTCCATTGGGCTTCTTTGTGGTGATGAAATAAGGAGAATTACCTGTTTAACTCCCAGCTTTCAAAGAACAGATCCCATTTCCACACAGACATATACAGTTTCCCCTTCTGAGACTTTGGTCAATAGCTTTCCATCTATAAAGGCTACTAGAATACCAACCATAATGGATACTTATCCAGTTGATCAAGGTAAGTAGAAGTAAGATATAAAGAAGTTTGAGTTTGAAAAAGTTGTGTATTAAAAGCATATTTTCTGAATTATTAAAATCTTTCTTTCTGAGATACATGATTTTTAGGGGTGAAAATTGAGCATTATTGGTTATGTGTCCTGTTTAAAGTTTTGTTTTAAGCAATGTTGTTTGCTAATACTATTTCTGGATCAGTAAAAAAATGTAAATTAACAGTTTTTATTCCACTGTCCACTGTGTAAATTTTAATAGACAACTGGACCTCAATCCCAGCACATTTTGTTTTAAAAGGGCATTGTGCTACTTGCTTCAGTGTGTCTTTACTTCATAGTCTCTGAGTCATTAATGTAAATTTATATTCCTATTAAATTATTTGACTAACACTCAGATAAAAGATATATACTTATTTTCCTATTGTGAATTATTTTAACAACTTGAGGCTGTTTTTTACATGTTCAATTATTTAACTTTCTAAATCAAGTGATGTCATATTATAAACAGTACATTATATATTAAATTCCAAATTTACTCTTCATGTAGTCAATGCCACTTCAGATAATCAGAGTAAGAATTGTAGTTCTTAGCAAGGAATTCTTTAAGAAAAAATAATTTTGAAGGCTATTGGATATTCTAAGTAGAAATGTACCTTGTCTATTTTTCATCTATGTAATTTCTATTCTTTTAAAAATTTAAATTGAAATATAGTGTTATCTAATATAAACAGAACATTTTGCCTATTGAAGAAGTAAAACAATATTTCTAACATTTCTAACCCGATAGGTCAAACATTCATTGGTTGTGTCAATGCAAAGGTGTTGTAATTTTTCATGTTTTCTAATTTAAAGGAGTCATTTAGTTGGGAATATGTCAATTCCGTGTAATGCCATTTAGCCTGACTTTAACCCTCCCATGGAGTGTAAATAATAGGAATCTTTGCATTTATGCAGTTTGTGAAATCATTAAACCTCCTCATATACTTTTATTAGAAATATGATTTACAGAACCATATTTGTCTGCATATAATGGATGTAAGGTGGCAGTGCAATTTGCCTGAGATTTATCCCAGTGCCAAAGTGGTTCATTTCTAATTCATTTTTCTAATCTTTTTGACTTTTTCCTTTTTGTAGGTCCAAAACAGACAGGCATTGTCAAGCATGACATTCTCCCAACCACTGGTTTGGCAACGTTAAGAATTAGCACACACTTGGAAAGCTACTTACTCGAAGAACTGATTGTCACTAGAGAGCTTTCAGCAAAACACAGCCTTCTTTCTTCCACAGATGTTTCCTCTTCTCCATTCCTGAATTTTGGTATTCATGACCCGGCACAAATTGTCCAGGACAAAACATCGGTATCGCATATGCCTATTCGAACTTCAGCAGCCACACTAGGTTTCTTTTTTCCTGATAGGAGAGCAAGGACCTCATTTATTATGTCTTCCTTAATGTCAGATTTTATTTTTCCTACACAATCTTTATTATTTGAGAACTATCAGACTGTTGCTTCATCTGCTACCCCAACGACTTCAGTAATTAGAAGCATTCCAGGGGCTGATATTGAGTTAAACAGACACTCATTACTCTCCCGTGGATTCCTGCTTACAGCTGCCTCCATAAGTGCAACTCCAGTTGTCTCTAGGGGGGCTCAAGAGGATATCGAAGAATATTCAGCTGTTTCTTTAATTTCAAGAAGAGAGCACTGGAGATTGCTCAGCTCCTCGATGTCTCCCATTTTTCCTGCTAAGATAATTATATCTAAACAGGTAACCATCTTAAACTCATCAGCTATGCACCGGTTCGGTACAAAAGCCTTCATTCCCGGTGAATATCAGGCTATTACTGAAGCTTCAAGCAACCAGAGACTCACAAACATCAAATCACAGGCTGCTGATTCTTTAAGAGAATTAAGCCAAACATGTGCAACATGTTCTATGACTGAAATAAAATCCTCTCATGAATTCTCAGATCAAGTTTTGCATAGCAAACAGTCCCACTTTTATGAGACATTCTGGATGAACTCAGCGATATTAGCCAGCTGGTATGCACTAATGGGAGCTCAAACTATCACTTCTGGGCATTCATTTTCTTCTGCTACTGAAATAACACCATCAGTGGCATTCACAGAAGTGCCATCTTTATTTCCTTCTAAAAAGAGTGCAAAAAGAACAATTTTATCCTCATCCTTGGAAGAATCCATTACCCTATCAAGTAATTTGGATGTTAATTTATGTTTGCATAAGACTTGTTTATCCATTGTCCCTTCACAAGCTATCTCTTCAGACTTGATGAATTCTGATTTGACTTCAAAATTGACTACTGATGAACTGTCAGTATCAGAAAACATTTTAAAACTATTGAAAATAAGACAATATGGCATAACTACGGGCCCCACTGAGGTACTAAGTCAAGACAGCTTATTGGACATGGAAAAAAGTAAAGGATCTCATACACCGTTCAAACTTCACCCAAGTGATAGTTCTCTAGATTTTGAGTTAAACTTACGAAGTTATCCGGATGTTACTTTAAAGACATATTCAGAAATTACACTTGCAAATGACCTCAAAAATAATCTGCCACCATTGACAGGCTCAATGCCTGATTTTTCAGAAGTCACTACCAATGTTGCATTTTATACAGTTTCAGCAACTCCAGCACTTTCAATAGAGACGTCTTCCTCCATGTCTGTAATTACTCCAGATTGGCCATATTTTGTAGATTATATGACCTCTCTTAATAAAGAAGTCAAGACTTATTCAGAATGGTCCAAATGGGAACTTCAGCCTAGTGTACAATATCAGGAATTTCCCACTGCAAGCTGGCATCTTCCCTTCACTAGATCTCTTACTTTGTCTTCACTGGAATCCATTGTGGCACCTCAACAGCAGATGATTTCTGGTGAGTTTCTCAGTTTCTGTTCAGTAAACTTTTAGAAATGAGTTTCTTTTCTACAGAGAAGAAAGAGCCTGTCATGGTCACCAGGTGCTCTAAACAGCCTCATTGTAATCAGGGCAGCAGCCAGTTCAATGGAGAAGGCACCTGCTGTTGTACCTGACACAGATGGTTATTCTTTATGCACTGCCACAAAGGCTACCAGATCAATACAGTAGTAGGTTGGAGACAGCTATACTGCTGGCAAGCAATCAGAAACTGAACTAGTTCAATTCATTACAACAGATCTTTCAAAGTTTAGAAATAACTTTTATTATTCTCATTTCTTGAAATAGCTTCTTTGTCAGGTTGAACACAATGTGGCATACTCTTTCTAACGGTATCTTCGGTGGTGGCCTTTTTTTATATGGGAAAGATGAAATCACTGGAACTTTATTGAGATTTCCTGTCCTCTATGGCATGGTATATCATTTTTAAATTTAACGTTTTGATGTTTCATTTTATATAATTCAGAATGTAAGTTAATGTCATGTATTTTATTTAACAAAAGCACTATACAAAAAAATGAAAGAGATAATATCTGTGAATTTGAATTCAGAGCCTTGGTATATTAATGACAAGCCAGTTTTCTTAGATAACAGTTCTTACTCTAAAGCACATTTGAAAGCACTAATCTCTTCTCCCCTTGTAATTGCTATCAAATTGGTAAGATAATGCTATCAAATTGCGCTTATCGGAAATAGAAGATTTTCCATTATTTAAAGAAGTTCTATCTTATGGAATTTTCAAGTGTTACTTTGTGGCAGTGAAATTAATTTTCTTTTGATGATAAACTTATAGTGTTTTGTGTCTGTGTATTTATGGTTGTGTTTTTTTGCTTCATATATTACCTCAATATTTAAAGGGGTTGGGTGTATAACTTACGGCTGAAAATTCAGTAACATGAAAGAACAAGTCATTCTATTTGGTATGTTTAATATGATATAATTTTGTCTACAAAATTTCTTATGCATGATAAAATTAATTACAAATTTAAATGTGGCATTCTCCTTGTACTTTTACAGACTGATAGCTTGTGGTTTAGCTGTTACAACTCACACAGAATGCCTAATACGTCATTTTCCACATATAAGGTTCTTGGTAAATGTAGCAGAGTTAAAATGTCTTTCAAACAATACATCCTATAGCCAACTCTTGGAAATAATCAGAACACAAATTCTTAATTGTTAGGAAATAAAACCTTAAGTTTTGTCTTTTAAAACATAATTTTGCTACTTTTCACTCTTCCCATTCTTCATTCCCATTGCAACTATTCTTTGATTATTTTGACCTCACCTGCATCTCCTAATCTCCTTCCAGTTTCTCATGCCTTTCTAGTCATTTAATCATTATGATAAATCATTTGCAAGGCATTTGTTGACATTTTCCAATATGTTTATCCTCTGTGTTGATCAGGGTCACATCAGTGAATAAACACAGTCTAATTGGGTATTTGAGGAGAGTTTAATAGAGTGATTATTTATTAAAATGTGAGTAGAGTTTAAGGAAAACTAAGGATCTTATGGTTCTGAAGAGAGCAATAACAGCAAAACATAGTTACCAGCACTGGGCCTAAAGAGACAGAGGAAAGAGAAGGATCAGAACCTAAAATGGAAGGCTTCTAGGTTACAGAAGCTGTGGCCTTTGGAAGTAGGACACAGGTAATCCAATACGGACAGACAGGGAGGAGACTAGACCATACTAGACAATCCCTTTCCTGTTGTCTTCTAGTCTTTTGCAGGTGCTTCTTACTAGCCAAAGTTGTTCAGTAGCTGGAGGCTAAAGCCAGTCCTTTGAATTGGTCTCCAGTGTTTAGAGGGTAGAATAAACAAGGGTGGGAAGAAGATCAGGAAGAGCAAATGTTGATGTATTAAATTCCTACGTTTGTCAGTTTCCAGCTTGTATTTTGTCAAAATGCATAATAATGGCTTGTTCCACTAAAATTCTTATGAAATTCCTCAACTAGGCTCTTAATTCTTCTAGGCAATCCTAATTAATTTTGAATTGGCTTCCTAAAATTTTCATCACAGTGATTATTTCAATTTTTTCTGATCTTAGTATGAATATCATAACCATCATATTTGTTTAGCAAATGAACTTATTTCTAACTTCTCAACTGACAAATACCATCTAGTCTAATTCATCTGCTTTTCCATCTAATTCATCTTAAAATTATCTGGCAATGAAGGAAAGGAAAATAGAAAAACTTGGTGATACAATTGTTCCAGAGCCCTGTGTTTAAAAGCGTATTCCTTATCCATGGAATTACTTTTACACCTCGTCAAAAATCAATCAATGATATACATGCGGGTCAACTTCTGGAGTCTTAGTTTTTCTCCATTAATCCACATGTCTTTCTTTTACGCAATTCCCAACTGTCTTGGTTACTAAAGTATTTTCTTCTTTTAAAAATGTTTTACGCAATTTAGATGGAGATATTGTCATAGTAGTCATTGTTTTGTATCCATGAAAGATTGGGTTCCAGGGACATGCAGATACCAAAATCCATAGATACTCAACTCCCTTACAAAAATTAGTATAATATGGCATAAAACCTACACACATCCTCCCAAATCTTCATTACTATACCTACAAGGACATCTGTTTCTCCTCCAAAATCTTATAATGCTTCTAAAGCTGGGTTGGCAAACCACAGCCCTTGAAATCAAATCTTTTTCCATGCCTGCTTCTTTAAATAAAGATTTATTAAAACACAGACATGCCTATTTGCTTGCATATTGTCTACAGCTGCTTTGATACTTAATGTCACAAAAGAATGAGTAAGTGTTAAGGAAGCCATGTGGCCTACACAACCTAAAATACTTATTGTCTAATACTTTGTAGAAAATGTTTGTCAGTTCCTACCTGAAACATTTTCAAGGAGTTTAGTTAATGTCTGACTAAAGTAAGTACCATGGAAAAATCTGCCTGTTTACTTGTTTTCCTCTGTATGTATTCCTGGTTTGTCGTTTGATTTTTTTTTATTTAACCAAGTCATTATCCAGGCATAATGTACTTATATCATTGTTTGATTTAAATCTAATTATAATATACTTTTAATATAAATACAATGAGAAATATTTCCAAGATAGTAAGGGATTGCTATAGTATATATTTTATTACACATATAAGGATCTACAAACATTTTATTTTATCATTGGAAAACCTAGGTATAGAGATATATTTTTGATAATAAAAGAAATTTGATAATTTAACACTGTGTTGCTTATCGGAAATCTGTAATAAAACTAAAGTCAGAAAACTTAAAACTAAACAAATGTATAGATTTGAAACATTTTATAATATTAAAAATATGACTCATTTTTATATATACATTCTTATAAACATGAACTGAATATAAAAAGACAGTTGAAATATGTATTCATTCTGTTTATTTTATAGCATATATTTATAAAGAAAAGACATCATGTTTTTGGCCTAACTACTGAACTTCTCAAGAAAGAATTAATGTTCAGTCACAAGTAAATTAGAACTCCTTAGGGTCCCTTAAGAATATAATGAAAACATATGTTGTTTCTCATGAGATGCATATTCAATATTTATTCCTCCCATAGGTATTTTTATTCTAACATGGTTTCTACAAAAAGAAAAGATCAATTTTTCATCATTTTAGGATATATCCAGTCATATTAAAATGAAAATATGCAAGTTTTCATTTATTATTTTTGCTATTAGTTAAAACATGCAGCAATTATAGTAAAACAGAATGTATTGACAAGAGTTTTTATAAAACCGAAGTTAAAATTTCATTATTATAAGTTTTAATCAAAACAAATTTTCTTAGTAAACTTTGAAAATATCCTCAATTTAATTATTGTCCCATTTTTGTAAACTGCATGTGAGGTGGTCCTATAAAACCTAAAATGATAGCCAGCACCAAGTTAAACAACTAGCATGACATAAGGATGATTTCTGTGTTGTTCATTCTTGTGCACCTAACATATAACACAAAGTGCCATTAAAATAGCTGCTTAATAGTCGTTGTATAAAGTCATTAAAACATATTACTGGAAATGATCTTTATAAAAACTCTGGTCTAATCTCTTCATGTGGAGAAATGATATGATAGGCCATAGTCTAATGTTCTACAGTGGAAAGATCTTGAAAGATTGAACTATTATATATATGACTGTTTCTTACACATAATGGTTTCCATGACACTGCCAAAATATAGAACAAATGTGCAACTGACGAAGAGAGATGTCTGCTTCCAAAGTGGACCACTGAGTGCTATCATTTTCACCATATGTGGTATTCCCATAATAGAAAAGTGGCTAAGATGGCAAGCCTATAATTTTAGAGTCCCTTGCTGATGGTGAATTTCTCACTTTGTATTGGACCACTAGCAAAAAATAAATAAATAAATAAATAAATAAACAAATAAAAAGACACTCTGAGCAACCTCTTGTAATTAACAAAGTGAGGCATCATGGAGCCACCTCTATCAACTTGATTCTTTGAGCTTTGTGTACTTTTTGAAGTGCATGATTGCCGGTCCTGTAGTACAGTGACAGCTGAATGAAATTGAATCGAAGTCCTTTTCTCGGACATCTTCGAAACTGGACGAATTTGTGTGATTTAATTTAACATACTAAGGAAATAAAATTTAAGAGAAAAAGGGAATATTCTAGCAATTTGTCATTATTTCCCTACAGCAATATGACTCTATTTTTTTTCTACCAGTTATTTGGGAAGGATATAAAAAAAGAGCAACCAGAGCTTCATGAACCAAATATTCTCGAATAGCAATGGATAGGAAAAAATAGAGTGTTTGAGTTATGTTTATTCCGTTTTTAGTTGTAAAATTCTAAACTTAAAAATATACACTGTAGATAAAATTGTAATAAATGATAAAGGGGCATTTCTCCAAGAATATAAAGGATAAATCAAGTTAAGATATAATTTACTGCATCATTAAACAAAAAGACTTTAACACTCAATTGATA